GCATCCAGAATCTTCTGAGGTGGGAAATTTCCACTTGAAAGGACAAGCAGACCAGCCTGGAGCGGCTAGAAGAACAGAAGATACTTCTTGAAAGAAAGACCTACAGGAAAAATAAAAAACAATATAGGCAGTCCGACTGATTACGACAAGAACAAGCAAGTTGCTCACCCAGGAGACATCAAGGCAAGTGGTCGGGTCCCCTCAGGTCAAACCCCCATCCAATACTAAGACTCAATGGGAATACATGCTCTGATTGGTGACCATGTTCGTCACCGATAAGGGGAAGTAAGGGAAAAACAGCAATGAAGCTGTGACCTAAGCCCTACAACATTCAATAGACCCTTGTAAACCTGGGTGGAGACCTGGTTGGCCAGCAGTGTGGCAAGACCTGGGGACTCTTGGGCCCAGAGTCAGAGTCAGTGACATAGCCACAGAGGACTAGTGTGGAGAGTGAAGCATCCAGCTGATAAGAAAAGAGGTCACATGCATAAGAACATCTACACTTGCAGATAATACCCACTTGACCTGACTTTAATGAGTGGATGATCAGAGCTCAACTCGAAGAAGAAAGAAGAGGGAAAAAAGAATAGTCTGATACAATTTGATGAACTTGACCTATACCTATGGATGCAGTAGTTCAAAAGAGGGAACAAATCTTTACAGTGAGGATCAGTCCCAACCCCTCCATACACAGAGTAGACAGGGATGGGCAACTTGGATTTTGGCTACCCAAAATGGGGGTGGGGGGGAGGTGTTACAAAGGCAAGATGTGACAGGCTTACAAGCTTTCAAAAGGGAGCCTAGATCTAAAGGGTGTGTAGGAAGGTAGAATTTCCACTGAGTAGTATCCAATCTGTCTAGGCGGGGCTGATGAAAGGAGATGCGGATAGGTCTCTTGTGATACAATAGTGAATAATTGTTATCAGGACTGATTGTGAGGGTTGGAAATGTAAAGGACGTTTTGTTGCAAAAAAAGGGGAGTGATTGACTTTGAAGTCCAGGAGTAGAGGTCCCTGGGACCATCAAGGGAGAAGAGCGGAGAGCGGGACCCTACCCAGAGAAGCAG